CAATTCTCAAAAAAATTATAAATATATACAGCATATAAATTCTCACCTGCCACAAAAATCCTATAACTCTAAATAGTTTCCACAGATCAAAAATATACGCAACGAAGTTCATGGACAACCTACAACTATATAAAATTAGATCTCCCAAAAAAAAATCACAGAAGGCAGATAATGCAAGAATATACACAAATCAGAAACTCAATGGCCAATTCCTTTATGTGTGCCTTCATGCACATTTAAGTTGACACACAGAAAGAACAACCTTCTCTATCACACATAAAACATATAGCAAGTAGTAGATAAACCTAAAACTAAAAACCTTATTCAAAATGTTAAACGATCTCAAATACAATGTCTAAGGTTATGGAGAAGTGCAGACACAAAGACAAGCTACCTCTGAATCTCTTCTAAAATAGCATTGCCTGCAGAATTAATGTTATAAAGGATGGGACTTTTGGCAGCTACTAAAAGCATTGATAAAACTAAAATAATATCTATAGAAAGAGTAACTACATTCAACATGAGTGGTGAACCTCACACCAAATTTAAATTTGGAATATTATTATTATAAATTAGCATATATTACATCATCTACATTTAGAGTATATCTGTATTTCTATTCAAAGCATACTTACCTAAACCTGGGATGATTGTTTATAGCCTCATCTGGGAAGAAAAGAGACTTTGAGGCTCCCGTCTCAATAGGTGTTGGATGATACGCTGGTATCGTAAATCCTGGACAACCTAATCTATAAATTCCAATCAAATTGTGATAATTTAGGATCTCTAGTTGATAAAGATTTATTTAGTAAAGTTATATTAGAAATATTCCAGAACAAAAGTAAAACCAAAGTTTATTAAGATTAATACTTATGTGTTTGGCACAACTCTTCTATAGACACTAATCAAAAGGGTTACAAGCAGTGGCGGGATTCAAATACCAGGACAACCGGTTCTCATATTTGATGCAGGCCTGAGCTTCTGATGCCTAGGAACAGACTTCTGGAAGTGGCATCATGCACTTCCGGTGGACTGTTCTAGGCCTGGGAGACCTTCTCCAGGCCTTCGATGCTTAGGACGGACTTCCGGAAGTGGCATCCACACACTTCCGGTGGGCCGTTCTAGGCCTGGGAGGACTCCTCCAGGACTCCGAGGCCTAGAATGCACTTCCGGAAGTGGTATCCATGCATTTCCAGTGGACTATTCTAGGCCTGGGAGGCCTCCTCCAGGCCTCCCAGGCTTAGACTGGATGACTGGAAGCCAGCCAGTTCTCCGAATTCAGGTAAATTTAGCTACCGGTTCTCCTGAACCGGTGTAAACCGGCTGAATCCCACCACTGGTTACAGGTATTTTGTAAACCAATTAAAATAGGTTAGTCTTGTTTCTGCCAAAAAGCCTGATCCAAAACAGATAAGAAATTTACCAAACATACTTTAAGTAGAAAGAAGCTTTCTAGTGCAGTGGTTCCTAACTTTTTCTTCATCATGGGCCCCTTTTAAAGACCTTTTGTGAGCTTCCTGAAACACATCTAGTTGGACATTCTAACGTGGAATGCTGGAATATAAATATGGGCCACTGGCCTAATCAACTGGATTTTTCATATGTTTTTTATTTTATAGAAATAATTATGAGCATGAAATATCATGCTGCACTGAAATGATTAAGGAATTAATAGAAATTCAGTAGATCAACCATTTGTACAGATCATTTGTAGATATTTAGACCGGCCAAAATCTGTAATGGTCGACATACATACAGTGGTATCTAAAGTTTGTGTGCCCTTTTCAATATTTTTGCATAAATATGACATAAATGACCACAGACGTTCTAAAACGTAATTAAAATAACTCAATTAAACAAATCAAAAATATTATTCTTGTTCATATTTTTATTGAAGCAAATGATCCAAAGGTACATGTCTATATGTGACAAAATATATGAACCTTTCTTTTCAGTTATTGGTGTGCCAATTACTTTGATATGACCATTCCAAAATATCAACTTTCTTCTGCCTTAAGCAAAACGACTTGTGTTTTTGTCATTGTCTAGCTGCCTGATTCCCTTTGTCTTGAGCTTAATTCATGGATAGATACCCTGACATTTTCCTATAATATTTACTGGTACAATTCAGAATTCATAGTTGCATTAATGATGGACAGCCATTTGTCCGAAATGATATAGGGTTTCCTGCCTGAGCAGGGGGTTGGGCTAGATGACCTCCAAGGTCCCTTCCAACTTTATTAATTATTATTATTATTATTATTATTATTATTATTATTATTATTATTATTAATTATTATTATTACTATTATTACTACTACTACTACTACTGCTACTGCTACTGCTACTATTATCTATATAAATAAAAATGTAACTGTTTGTTTGTTCAAAATCTTAAATCTCCGAAAGTTCTTCACCGATTGCTTTGAAATTTTGACACAACGTTGCATTCGAATACGCGCGTGTTTTTATATACCTACTATTATATAGATGTCACACCTGTGACAGGTAAAAACATGTTTTGAAAAACAGCGCCATCTGTTGGACGTAAAAGCCACTTAGCAACTGCTTAGTAATTGGTTGAAATTACAACAGACACCCCCCCCCCAAAGATGGTCTGATTCCAGAATTCTGATGACGGCATCCCTCCCCAAGTCCACCAGAGTGCATCTTGGACACTTGGCAACCAGCTCATCAGTATGGCTGGTTGCAGCATACTGTGGTTTCCGATAAAAGACACCCATAAGAATGAATTAATTTGCTTAAAGACTGCCACAAAAAAAGTTGTAAAATCAGGTCGGTCACATGGGCACCTCAACTTATGACCGTCAAGTCTTAACAACAGAAAAGCAATAGCATTTTGGTTTATAAACCCACCCCTTAGTGCTTTTATAGCATTCTCTGGGCAGTTTACAATGTCATAGCATTATTTGCATGGTCCTCATTTTACCAACCTCAGAAGGATGGAAAGTTGAATCAACCTTGAGCTCCATCAGGATCGAACTCCAGGTTATGGATAGAGTTTGCCTGCAATACTGCATTATAACACTGTGCCACCAGGGCTGTTATGAAAAAAAATCCGTAAGAGAAATTGCAGGGTCCATTACGGTTATAGATTGAGGACTATTTATTTTGCCATGTTTCTCAGATGAGATAAGGTTCTTACACCGGAATGCAATGTATGCTTTTTGTCAAACATAACAGTTTCATTGAAACAAAAAAGTTATATTTTGGTTAGATCCATCCACAGAACATTCTTCCAATAACCTTTTGATTTGCTTGGATCATTTTCCTCAGGAAATAAACAATTGTAACACTCTGATTCATTTGCTTAATTGGATTCTCTTTATCTAATTTTAGAACTTGTGTGGAAACCAGATCAAGTTTTAGGTTATATTTATGCAGAAATACTGAAAATTCAAACAAGTTCACAAACTTTTAAGCACTGCTGCAGATGTAACTAAGTAGCAGTGGCTCTAAATAGGAAATACTTTATGGTGAATCTTCCTCTTTTTTAAAATAGCCTTAGTAATAAAACTTTCTTCTGAGTCACGGCCATTTGAAACCATTATATTTTCAAAGTATTAGAAAAAACAGAATCTAACCTTGGAAATGATGTGACAGTGCAAATAGCTACATCTTTTTTTAGTACTGAAGCAGCTTCCTGGCGTCGCTTTCTCATGTTGTCCTGTACAGTATTAAATTCAGACATTGTTCCTCCATAGGGCTGCCCAGGAGTCCCTTCGATCATGTAGCTTCCGTATTCTGGTCTCCATAATGTTGGATGGCTGAAAAATCAAATGAAATCTGAAAGTATTTTCTATAACAAAGTATACTTACATAACATGCAACTGTAATTTAGCTTTTAACTCTGAACCATGCAAACACAGGTAAAAACCTTGACTCAGGATGGTGATGGCTTAATCCAGTACCTTAATTTGCTTACAACAGGTGTCCCCAACCTGTGGGCCGTGAGGGGATTGCAACTGGGCCGCGGAAACAGCCGGCAAGCACACATGCGCACCCTCACTTGTGCGAGTAGCGTGCGCACGCTCCATTTGCATGAACACTAGGCGTGCGTGCATGTCACTAACATAAATGGAGCTGAATGCACATGCGCTTGCCAGCTGTTCAAGTGGAACCATCACCTCTCCCTTCGACCAGTCTGCAAAGCCAAAAATGTTGGGGGATTTTGGTTTAGAATGTGTTTTATGGTTATCTTATTATCTTTTAGGGAGAAAATATGCAATAATGTAAGTACAGCAGCACTGTACCACACATAATTAATCTTCAGGTCATCAAAACCAATGAAGATATTTAAAAACATTGTATTTGCCCATTCCTCAAATATAAAATTAAATATTTTAATAATTAAATATTAATTAAATTAAAAAGATATGCCACTGTATTGCTGCAAGTTAAAAACACTGATCTTTTAGGCTACATGCAAACAGGTATTATTTATGAAAATGCATTTCTCATTGTTTAGAAGAGAGCTAATTTGGTGAATTGATTAAAGAAACCAGTTACAACTGAGAGATTGCAAATTTTGGCCTGTATTAGCTAGCTGGATAACTTTGGGACCAGTCATTCTTTCTCATGGCAATGGCAAACTACTTCCAAAAACATTGCTGTAAAAACTCCATGGACCAGTCCAGGCAGGAGTCAAAAGTCACTTGTAATAGACAGATAAACTGAAATACATGCAGATTAATAACCTGGTTAAATTTCAGCATGTATTTTTATGAGCTGATGGTACTTACTTTGGATTTGTTCTTTCACCTTTTTCTTGCAAAGTTTGAAGTACTCCTTCTCCAGTTAAAGACAACCGTGCTCTCTTATTTTTATGGTCAAAAGCTACTAACATATATTCCACCTAAAAGACAAAGTAAGTTTATAATATAATTTTTAGTTCACAAAACATAAAAACACCAAGAAGTTCACAAAATGGTCACCTGAGGAATTATAATTTTTAAAAGCAGCCTTCATGGTAATGTTTTCTAAAAAATATATACTTTTTTATTTTTGCATATGAAGCTGCAAATTTTACAAGTCTTTTTTGCCCACAATATATCAGTAAAGAGTAATATTTACTCATTAGTTGCACAATGGCTTCTAGCCTCCTCGGCGTGGTTTTGATCAAGGATGAAAGCCTGCCTAAGCTTCTTTCCCAATCCATTCTACTTAAGTTTATCTCAATATTTTGTTCACAAATGTTCACTTTTAAGACTGCAGCTACTCAAAATATAGAAGGCAACTAAAGTGAATGATAGAAAACTATAGCATCCAGCATTACAAACATAGCCAAAATCCAAATAAAACCCATCTTAGTCCTTTTTAAATCACAAGAGTTTAAATGAGGCTATTAAAAAGGTATGTATATTGTATTTAACAATATAAACTGTCTTAAGAAATATAAACTGTATACCTTTCAGTACAATTTTATGGCTTGCTGATTCAAACTGTTTTTCTTGCTGACTTCATGGGAATGACAAAGCTATCTTATCGACCTTTCCAACATGCAATTTATTTACAATGTGGTCCTTGTGCAGAATAACAGGACATTATTTTGTACCAAATTGAACTAAACAGAACTTAGCCGCTATTCAAGTCTATCCTAGCAGCCACGTCCAGTTACCTTGCCCGAGTTCAAAAC